AACACTATCAAAACGAAGTTCTGATACATGACATTCCACCATGACTTTATATCAACTGTGGTCGTGTCATGGCTTGCTGATTTGTTTATTAAATATCCCTTTAGTATAACATACTCAACCATCTGTAATTTGAAGTTATTCATAATGTTTTAATCAATGATATTAGATAAACACCATAAAAGCTCATTAAGTGAAGTTTTGAAAGAATTTAAAAATTAGTTTCTGGCACGAATTTAACATTATCTAGTGAAAAGATTGTAAAAAGAGCAGAAAGATCTTCAGTTAATTAACCTTGAATTATCCACTGAATGGACTGTACAAAACAAAAAAAAAGGTTGGAAATGAATAAAGATGATCTTACTTCATGTATTATATCACCATTTTCTGCGTGAACTTGTGCTACAGCCCCTAAAGCTTTGCATGCCTTGAACACTTCAATCAGTTCTTCATCTCGTAGCATAAGAGTACCTTTATATGCCATGTACATTTTAAAGGAATTTATACCTAAAAACAAAATGCATTTTACATTTATAAAAACTGTTAGGAAACATCTAGCAAGAAAATGGTCATATCTTTATTATTATCAAGAAAGGCTGAAGAGATTATATTTGCTAGATACATCTGTGATGAGCATTTATAAAATCGGTATTTATAAGTAATATTACCTTTGTTTTTATTAAATAACAATGAAACTTCACATTTGAAAAAAAAAAAGTTTAAGAGTTATAATTTTGGTTTCGGTGTTTCTAACCTGCACATTATTGGGACACGGACTAAATGACCAGGTCAAAGATACCTAAGGTTGAGCCACAGCCATCTATAATTTAGAACTGATAGCCATATGAAAGCACCTGCTTCTAGTTATGCAGCTATGTTTAACAAAATAGCAGAATTGATTAGTTATGGATGTTCTTATTGATGAAAATAAGTACTTATATAATTTCATATTTAATAATAGGACAAATCAACAATAATCAAGCTTTTTAATGGTGAAATCTTAAATTTTGGTAAAGAATGGAACATTATAAGAACCTGCCCAATAAACTACAATCCAATGCAGGCCATAATTTAAGCATTTTTCACTAGACCCACCCTCCCAAGTTATGTCAAATGTTGTAGAAAATAGTAAGGACAATCAACTCAAATGTTATGATCTTTTGATAAATCAAATTATATTTATTGTTCAGTTAAAGTACAGAATGTTTGTAGAACAAATATTTTTGCACAAAAAAATATAAAAAGGGGTTAATCAGTTTCTAAAGACTTTGGTTAAGTGCAATAAAACAAAAAACGTTTTCTAGATCAAGAATGCGTGCTGCTAAACTGTATTACAGTTTACATTGAACTGATCATAAGCCTCAAAAACAAAATGTGAAAGAAAGTAAGAACCCAAGATTAAGTTAATACAAAGGAAAATATTTTTTAAGTACAGAAAAAAAAAGTCATGGTTAAGTCTATCCTATAACGCAATACGCTTAGCCAGGACGTGATGAAAACGGTACATTTACTCAAAATGTAGCTTTATGAAAGTCTTTTCACACATCTGGTATCATCCCACTTATTCATACTGACATTAAATGTAATATAAATGACAAAAGGCCTGGGTTTAAGATTTTACAAACCATGTTCTTTAGTGAGTATTTCCATGTCCTGTTTAATAGTGTCACTCCATGAGGTCACAGCAACATGAAGGGCATAATCACAGCAAACTTTCTCATCAGCCCAACCTCTCCATTTTTCATAAGATTCCAGCAAAGATGAGGTAGTTTCCACCACAAAGTCCACTACAGAAAAACAATAATAAAAACTTTTATGAAGGTTTGTTTGTTTTGAATTTCATGCAAAGCTACACGAGGGCTATCTGCGCTAGCCGTCCCTAACTTAGCAGAGTAAGACTAGAGGGAAGGCAGCTAGTCATCACCACCCACCGCCGACTCTTGGGCTACTCTTTTAGCAACGAATAATGGGAATGACCGTCACATTATAACGCCCCCAAGACTGAAAGGGCGAGCATGTTTGGTGTGATGGGGAATCGAACCCGCGACCCTCAGATTGCGAGTCGAGCACCCTAACCATCTGGCCATGCCGGGCCTGAACAGTTGAACTGTGCACGTTTTTTTTCTTATAACTACATACAATACTATCAGCATTACTGTTCCAAGCTCTTCTGATACACATTCTTATTAGAGAAGGCAAGTGAAGCCTTTCGTTGAAATGATGTACTGTTTTATACTCACTGATCATGGTGGTTCCACCAGCTAAAGCTGCCTTGGTTCCATGGTAGAAATCATCAACAGCTCTGGTGCCCATAGTGGGGAGTTGGAAATGGGTGTTGGTGTCGATGCCACCTGAAATACAGCAATGACCGTTCTAAGAATTTCTTAATTTTGGCCAACCTTTTTTTTTTCAAAGTTGCAGTCACTTTATTCTTAGTTCTTCGTAGATTTTTTTTACTTCTATTCTATTTTAAATCAGGCAATCGATTGTGGCATATATTTTACATTTAGTCTTAGGTGTTAGCCAGGAGCTGATCAGGGGTATATCTCTAATCTCACAGAGAAGGTGTGATGGTTGAAATACTCATGAATTTCACCCATCCATCGACTGTACCTCTGTTCATGTATTTTTACATTGTACTTTTTTTAAATTTCCATGCAGTGTCTGTATTTAGTTATGATATTCTCATTTACCAGGTATCTAAAGGTCATAAATGTGTTAATTATTTCACACAGGTAAAGGTCACATACCCTAACTTTTGCTCTTAATCACCAATCTACATGTTCATGTTTCTCTATGGATTTCAGGCAATACATAAACCGGTACAGCTAGATTGGCTTAAGATTACTTACAGAACATTGGCTGAAACATGTATCCTGTGGAATTATGGGATAACTGACTTTCATAGTTTCGCTAATAGGTTATTTCTATAGTTCTGTATATTCATAAACTAAATCTCTTCAGTGCTCTTGATTTTCTTAACCTCGGTAGTCAGACGAACATGCCAGTATTTTTTTATGATGTACCACTGTGTTTGGAAAGTAAAGAATATTTGTGTTTCGAACTACTTGGAGTAAAACAATGGTTGTATCCAGGTTTAACATCACTCTTGGCTGTCACATGTGATTAGCTGCCTCTACAGTGCTATGTGCATCTTGTGATTGACTGGATATAGAATGTTATGCGTGTCTTGTGATTCGCTATTGGCTGGCTATCAAGAGATCATTTAACTTTCTTGAGCTCAAAGAGCTTGTTTTCAGCTTCTAAAGTCTTGTGTAATCTTCTGTCATTGACTGTTTCAATTGTGCATGATAAAGTTTGTGTGATTTCATTTTAAGATAACTTTGAGTTTAAGTTTTATTACAGTTTTGTTTTACCTTTGGTCTCCAGTTCTTATTTTCAAGTCGATAAACTCATTTTTCTTTTAACTTCACTATTTTTTAAATAACTTAACAGTTTATTTTTACTTTTCACACTATTGTGTTTTTTTCTAATTTGTTATTAAAGTGATTTTTTACAACTATTTCTAGTTTTTTATTTCAGTAGCAAAACGTTATATTTACAATCAAATCTTCATCTAACTGAATCAACCAAACTTTTTTACTGTGGTGATCAGGTGTCTACATATTTTCATATTCCAAGTCCCAGATTTCCATAAGCAACAGTTAGTTTATTTATGTCACTCTTTAAGTTTATCACTTACGTTCTGTTGTAGGTTATGTTTTAGTACTTTAAGTTGGATGTCTTGTATTTTTTGCTAGAGGGAGTTTTGACACAATGTAGTGATAACCTCTTATGTCTTTAAATTTCATGAGTGTTTACGTTTGGCATGTCATCTTGAATTTTCATGAGATATGGGGAAAATTTTATTGTATAAAAACTCCAGAGTTAATCACTTATTGAGTCAACTAGTTAAACAGTGGATTAGTCAGTGAGTTATCAGTTAGTTAATAAGTTAGTATGTGAGCTAGATAATTATTGAGTCAACCAGTAAGTTAGTTAATTAGTTAAGTCATTACCATGTTATTAAATGATTACTGAGATCATGAGTGTTTTAGTCAGTCAGTTTGAGTTTTTGTCATAGAGGAAATTTAATAAATGACTATTCTGTTAAACTTGTGAGTTAGGCTTATTGTCCAGAAGAATCTTCCCAATGTTAGAAATTGTTACAACGTATAATAAGAAGTACAGAATGTTTAGTTTAGGTTGGCTAGTTGCTTTCATGGTTTTCTTAACCTCCTGTCATTTTGCTCACTCTGATGTTTTAGCAATTAAATCACAAAAACATCATAAAATAATTTGTAAACCTAGAAATAAAACATTTCATGCATCAACAGATATATTTTACAGTTTCTATGTCTTTCTGCTATAAAATGATTGAATTCATATTTTCTAGCAAATTAAAAAATGCAATTGTTTCACTCATATGTACGTGATAAAAAAAACAGTATTTTTAAGATTTTTTACTTTAGTACCTTGGAAAGCAGAAACTTCCAACAACTTCAAACATCAGAGATGTCAATACTGAATTCTTATCTAAAGTGGCAGTTAACTTATGGTTGAGGTAAAAACTCACAAATCAAAAATCATGGGATGTTAATAGATAGTTTACAGTTGGATCTTACCTGGAATTACCAGCTTCCCTTTGGCATCAATTGTTCTAGTGCCTCCAGGAATGATGAGATCTTTACCAATTTGCCTGAAGAGTTAAACGAAAAAAAAATTGAATGAAAACTAAATACACGTGGGCATTATGTACAATATGGTAACTAATTTTATTTCTTGTAAATGCAGTTGTATCTGTAGTAGTGTAAACAATTAATAGTTTTTGAGGCATCACTTGTGTACTGCTTTCTACAAAAGAAACTTACAAAAAAAGTTACATTTCAATCCTCAATACGACCTCTTTTCTTCTGTGTATAATAAAAGTTTGGCTTTATTAAGTGTTGTATCGTTGGACAGTTGTTTTTTTTTTGGGGGGGGGGGTATTATGAGGTAAAAATAATGCCAAGTACAGTCCACACAATGCTAACGAATTTATTTCTTCAATAACGTTTGCTTATAGTATCGGCTACATTCTATTTTGCAAAAGTTGTAGGCCTAAGTTCTCCAACAACGTTTAACAATAACAGAAACTTCGACATTATTGTTAACGTTATGTACACCTAACTTATAAACTTACTGAATTACTCGGCTATTCGATTGAGTAACTTAACAGACGCGATAACTCTCACTATTAATACTGGAATGAATTGCTCACTGATTACTCATTAAATTATCATTAGTTAACTGCTTCAATGATCGTCGTATTTATAATGTGCCCTTGGTTCTACATACTGCACGAAATGTCTAAATTATTACATCATAATAACATTTTAGATATTGTGTCACGCGACCTTTAGCAAACAAACATCTAAGTTAAAATATTAAAAATATATCTTACACCACATCTATGCAAAACTTTAAAATTATAAGAGTTTAAACATAGATATAAGTGATGCTACAGCAGTGAAGTGGCTTGTATGAGAATAACCATGAGAGTATAAGCAAACTTTATATTTACTTAACATTTTGGGTTGTAGCTTCTTCGAGAGTTCTCTATACAAATTCTCACAGTATTGGTTTAACTACATCAGAATAGTCTTAAATGTCTTGAAATATCAAGATATAGTATGTTTATGAAAGATCGCAGTGACTAGCGGAGACAGCATGTACAAATATACAAGACATGTTCTGTGTTTTCTTAGTGTAGGTAAACAATATACTGTTGCGTCAACGAGTCACATGACCACGTGACGCAACGTTTCTAGAATTA